TGATCTGATGACTGGAACGGCGATAGTCATAGGCTATTTAGAAAACCACACAGCACTATGCAAGTTTGGCACGTGGGGGTGGGGGGGAGGCGAGGGGATTTGGGGCTGAGGGGGCCTGAGAACATGCCCCATTCGCCTGAATTATTGAAAATGCCCCCCTTTTACGATTAAGTGCCCATTTTTGATAACCAATGATCACGCAAAATTCAGCCACCCAGCCCCCCCCAAAAAAAAACCACACACACACATACACACACAAACATAACCACACACGTTATATAAATAAGAGAAACTTAGGAGAATAAATGACAGAAATATATTTCCCTAGAACGCTAGAACAGCAGTACTTTCTACTGTAAGATGATTTTAACCAATTTGACAGCAGACAGATATGAAAATAGACATTTAGGTGAAACTGTCAAAGGCTATACATCTGTGCAAAAACAGTTATAATTCATCATCTTAATTTGTCAGCACCATTAATAAATTTCACTTGATGAATTGTGATCTATATCAAAACAAATGAATTACGTAATTCATCAACTCCCAAATTTTCTGTACGGAAAAAAACGATGAAAACTGAAACATTCACAAGGATTCAGAAAAATATCCCTATTTGACATTTTTCTTGTCACTACTTCTTTGAAAGCCAAAGGAGCAATGGTGAAAATAGTGCATGTTATTATTTTTTATATTATTGTATTTAGATGTGCATAGTAGAAGCAATATATTGTTTAATGCATTTGTACCATTAGGCGGATGGCACAGATCTACCATGGACTCCAGCAGTAAGACATGCTGCTGTCCTTCAGCTTTATTATAAGTCTGAATGTCACCACAAAGGCAAATAAACCCAAGACAACGACACCTCTCTGGCTGCGCTGTAGCCAGCCGTCCTTCCTGAGGCCTGCCCCCCTCACTGCAGCCCCAAATAACCATGCACACACCTGTCTCAGCTGCAGGGCTCGCAGATCACCATGGCAAAAACCTTCCCGGCTACGAGTAAAGCTGCGTCGAAACGCTGTTCAGATAAAGATACAAATGCTAAAGTCGAGAAATGCCCTCTTTTGCTTAAGGTATTTCCCTGTACTCTCGGCATACAGGCAGCTATTTACAGCTGTCTACACGGCCAAGACGCAAAAAATGATTGACATTACTATCACATTGTTAGAAAAGAAAATCATGTTCTTAAGCTCCCATATTTTTTCACAGATGCCATTGCTGTCTGAAGGAAAATGTGACGCCAGACACATTTTCATTTCCGAAGAATATTGTACTATTATAATTATTTTTGAACTGTTTAAAGGCATGCTTAAAGCACACAATATATTAGTAAATAGTTTGAAGCAGCGAAGGAATAAAAAGGTAGTACTGTACTAAGTTGAGGTAAAATTTGAAGAGCTTTTAACATACTCAACACAATAATCAGTCACTTCTGATTATGCTGGGATCTCATTCCAACAGTGGGGAGGGTGGTGGTGGTGTAGATGTAATTGTGGGTGGTAGGGGCCATTAAATGCCTAGCTGTTACTGTTCTTGGCTGTCTGGTTAGGGTGCATGGGCTGATGAGGTCAGTCATTGACCCTGTGACAGATATTGAATTTAAATATGAGACCACTGCAGAGCAAAAAAATGCCTGATTAAAATGCAAGATTGAATCAATATTTGTGCTGAGAGATAGATTACAAAGGCAAATAGATGATGCATAGTGCTAAATAATGAATGGGGGTGTAAGAATTTGGTTAGAGAGGGATGTGGAGACAGAAGAAAGGGCTACACTAACACTGCGTCAAGAGAGCAGACACACTGTATGTCTGAAAAATAGTCAAGTTGTAGCATTATTATTATTATTATTATTATTATTAGTAGTAGTAGTAGTAGTAGTATTACAAACATTATATGTCCCATTATTTGTAATTATTGAAAGATTTTCATAATTCATCATGCATTTATCACTAGGATTCAAATAACAAAACATTTACTAATAAAGAATAATTGGCAAATGTAATTCTTTGTTACTCTATACTCAATGCAAATATGAAGAAACAAAAAAAAATGTTTTATTTTTTCAAAATCTTTTCAAATCCTTTTTTAACCAGGACTCACACTCACACTTAATTTCCTCTACATTTATGGCAGAACACAGCATAAAATGTAACTTTTATTTCTGATTTAGCAGACGCTTTTGTCCAATTTTCATTTAAGATTCATGCGGAAAATCTTAGTGTTTGAAAGGACCAGTGTTACTTCTTTAAAGCGAACTGAATGTAGATTTTTTAAATTAGGCAGGAATTTTAAGCTGCTTGTCACAGAAGACTACTTCTCCAAATTGCAAGAAGATTAGATTAGAGCCGGTCAGAGTAGCATGGATGGATATATCTGATCTGCAAGGTAGACAGAGTGTTCGCAAGCTGCTCACTCCTAAATCTCATTCTTCACATGTGCTTCACATGTAAGCGATGGCCATTTGTTAGCTCATCTTAAAGGCAACGGAACAAAAAGCGGGTTTAAAAGGAGAATTACTGGGCTGAGATTGAGCCATGCCCTTTCCCAGGCTGGGCCCATGGGAGGAGAACCTCTGCCACATTCTTCAGGGCTAATTTCAATGGCTTTGGACTTTAAATCTCGCAAGATTACAAGCAAGAACATATACAAGTGCTTTCTGGTACTTGCCAGGCTGCAAGACACTGCAAAATAAAAGTATAAAAATATATTAAATATAATATATATGTTAATATGTGTGTGTGTATGTGTGTGTGCATACACACAAATTTTATTTAAATTTCCCAAACCTATTTCAATAAATGAAAGCTTAGCTAGCGGATGGAGGACAACCTCAAAGAACACAGTCTGCAAAAATATAAATCTAACAGCCAGCCTTTATTCAGTTTGTTCTAACTATCACATGCACTCTTCTGACGGTAGAACAGTAACATACTAATGTAAACGTATTGGTGTCTCTCAGTCTAGAGCTGTTAATTGGCCCTTTCTAAGTGTTACTAACCCTTTTCGTGTGTAAATTTTAGTGACTTTGGCTTTAATTCCAAAGTAGTCAATACTGGAAAGGAATATTGTGATGATGATGATGATGATGATGATGATGATGATTATTATTATTATTACTCTTATGCTTGTTGTTGTTTTAAATGTGTCATTGGACTGTGGGCGATTCAACAATTCCTCAACCATTACTGTTCTATTTTCTCTATAATGTATCCAAAGACCTGCATAAACAGACACTGTAGTCTCTGTTCTGTTATAGTCCTGGTCTCACTACAAGAGTTCCCAAAGTTTTCAAAGATTTTCGAAAAAACAAACATCCCTTGTACCATATGCTCTGTAAGAAAGTAAATGTTTAAACAGATGTCGGAGCGATGTTCTTTTAAATTGGTACTGCTTAAGTCTGCCTTTCACTAATAAATCTGCTGGCAAAGATCAACAAACACGACGAAAAGACACAAATTAAGGAAAAGCTGGAGAAACTCATGGTTGGATAGAGGCAGCTAGAAATGAGACTGGGAACAGGATTAAAAAAATAATCTTTCTTAGAACACGTTTCAGTAGACAGATTTAAAATAACTGTGATTCACAATAAAACAGGAGAAACAGACAGATCTAGCCACACATCTGAGGCCAAAAACCCTGTGCTATTAGCAAGAGACAAGCTAATAATCAGCCTGGACCAGACGTGCACCCTTTAAAGGGAAATTTACAAGCAGTCAACCAGTTTGAAGATCGTCTCATCAAAACCAGTGCCAGGGGTCCATATTATGTTGTCTGATTTCAGTTCCCGATGAAGAAAGCTGGGTATTACATTTTAAATTAAATGCCATTGTCTCAGCCTACCTTTTAGTAATTTCTTTTACTTCCTCAGTGTTGCTCTTTTTCTCTGTCTGATATAAGACATTGACAGAAATGTATTTATTTTGAGGACAGCAAAAAATTCATTTTCAGAAGGGATGTGTCATGTAGGTTGAACATAACAGAAGAGTACAGACAACCTTTCCACATCAGGGGGGTTAGGGGTACAGCGCCCCTGCCATGAGGAGAAACCACATCAAATTTTTTGGTCCCCTTGGCAAGCGGAGCAAAGCAAAGTGAAAAGATATGAGAAATGTGAGATACAAAGATCACTGCGAGATCACTGCGAGATATTGTATTGGGAGAGGCTGCCGTAAACACATTCGGTGTCCTCCAAACCAGCCCTGTACATATTTTATGCATTTATGAATTACTGAACATTATTATCAAAAAACCCCTAAAACTCCCCAGAAAAGTTCCATTTAATTTCTTATGTCAACCCCATGATATAGCAAAATCGCAATGGGGAAAGTCTCGATGCAGACAGGTCTACTGCAGTAGTTAGAGATCATCCATCAGTTAGACAGGTATACAAAAACGGAATATAAACACGGAATGCAAATACGGGCTGAAAATGGTTGTCTTTGGTTTAATGACTAAATAAGAAGTGTGACCAACTGATACTTACCATGTTCATGTTTACTTTTCGTACAAAAAAATCTATTAAAATATGTCAGTAGTGTGCCTGAATTTACATAGTGGTGTGTCAACAGAATTGGAAAATAAAAAAAAAAATGGGAAGGAGAGAGCCGGACACTTGTGTATAATGTAAGCAACTGAAACAATAAGGTACTCTTTGGTTGGGACTTCGCCTAAAAAATGATGAAGCTTTTAATGTGAATAACTTATGAATTTCAGTCATCAATCATATTGAATACTTCAGGGTTTACAGCTCCCTGATGGGGCAGCATGTGGCTCAGCAGGTTACGACCCCATGCCAGTGATCAGAAGGTCGTGGTTCAAACTCTGCGGTTAGTAGAGAGATTTCACTCTTGGTCCCTTTAGCAAGGCCTTTAAGTTTGCTTGCTTCGGGATTAACTTATCCGGCTCTCTTAAATGTATGTCTATTTTGGTAAAAGTATCTGCTAAATAAACGTAATGTAAATGTAACAATAGAATAACGAAGGACGAACACTTACGTTGTTCACTGCAGTCCTCAGGGCTGGATGATGTCTCGCGGTCAGACAATTGGCCCGAAATGGAAAATATTTTCTTTCTGGTTTCTTCTGCGGCCTTCAGGGAGCCTGGTGAGCTAGACGGCAGCTGACCAGCTAAAAAGTCATATTCTTTCCCTTCTGAATCTGTGTAGTACAAGAGGGCCGAGGTCTCTGCTTCCAAGCATCCCTTCAGACGCTTGGCTGGTGTAAAGGCGGACTGGTATCCCAAGCCGTCGCGCTCTTCCGGGGAAGGTGCGAAGGGCCGGAAGGCAGCCACTGCACTGTGACTGAGCATGCCTATGGGTGAGCAGTCAACAGCAGCCGGAGCAAACTGAGGATGCAGGTGCAGGAGCGAGGGTGGGAAATCCCGGGCTGGAAAACTACTGGATACCGTGGCTTGTCGGTTATACATAGAAGCAAAGGTATAGGAGCCGTTAGTAAAGGGAATATGCGCATCCTTGTCCATAGAGACAGGGGCACCAAACGGGCGGGGGTGTGGGCAGGGAATGGAAGGATCACGACCGGCCTCGGCCGTGGATGCCAGCACCATGAGGGCCGGCGAGGCTAACGGGCTTGGCAGGTAGGAGGACCGCTCCATTTTGAAAGTACCACGGTGTAGGTCCATTTGGGCTTATTGCTGAGAGAAGAAGGTACCCAAGTGAAGGGCTGGCGATTAGGGGCTCTGTAGAAACAGTGCACAGGGAAGGAGAAAAAACAAAAGTTCTGGGATTGTTGGCACGGAAACTGCTTACTGTCGGGTCATTTTCAGTCAGGTACCTGCCAAGAGAAAAACTTGGCTTAGCACAGCTTTGGAAAGCAATAAGATTTGAGGACTTTTTTTTCCCAAAATCTCTTATTCTGAAACCATAATAGCCATTTATAAAGTAATATGAATGAGGCAGTACATTAGCACTCACAGTACTGAAAATGCACTACTTAATCTTGCTACAAGGAATTCAATGAAATGTTTCCTTGCAGAAAAAAACAAATCCTCAAAAAAAATACTAAAAGTAAAAAAACGACAAAAACGGAAAATATATTCTTTGTGGCTACTTTATTATATAATGTTTTACAGGTATATCTACGTAGTACCAGGTAGGACTCCTTTCTGCTTCCTGAACAGCTTAGATGGTTGATGAGCTGTGCATTCAGATGTGTCTTTCTGCTCACCACTGTTGTACTGAGGTGATATTTTTGCACTAGTGGCCTTCCTGTTAGCTTTAACGAGTCTGGCCATTCTCCTCTGACCTCCCCCATTGACAAGGTACAGAACTGACACGGACTGGATTTTTTTATTGCATCATTTTCTAGACACTAGTGTATGGAAAATCCAGGGAAGTGACTGTTACTGAGATGCTGGAATGAACATTTATGGCACCAGCAATCACACCATGTTCAAAATCACATGCATATTTCTCATTCTGAAAGGCGAACAGGAACTGAACCCCGTGACCGAATGTCTGTATGTCTGAATGTCAGTTACAGGCTTACAGCCACATGATTAGATGTTTTGAGGGTTAGGCTGTTCGTGTTAATGATCAGGGGTACCTAGTAAAGTGGTCACTGAGTGTAGATCAGTTTCAACAACATGTTTGCCTTTACATACAAAAATGAGTTAAAAAAATAAAATAATTGCACAGCATACTCTACATTGCTTATGGTAATAACCAAAAATAGTGAAATGTCTGTTTCTGTAGATTCCTGTCTGAGAAAGCATAAAGTTTAATAACATTAGAGTAAGAAAAATGCTGCATTATGTTAATTATGTTGTATTGTTAATTAATTAATTTTATTCTGTTCCTGAAAACTCTTTTTCATTACAGGTTATGCCAGATTCAGTGGAACCTGACAGATGGCAATATCTCATTATATTTAAATCATTTTCGAAAACAATTTTAATTTAATAAATCTGTCTTCCAGGAAGAGATCAGAAATTGCTAGTAGTAGTGAATCAAAACTTCACATTACTATGATAAATTAAATATAACAGGAAAAAATAATTAATGTTAAATGATATACATCATGTTATATAAAGTAAATGGCTGGCATAATAATGGTATAATATTGGATACGAATCATAACTCATTGCATGAAAAAATGCTCCGCTATGATTTTTGATTACAGTAAGCTTCAATATTTTGAGGTTTCTGGAATAAGCAAGATGAACAACTTGCATTTGATCCAGGACCCCTTGATTTACTCCAAGTGTTTCACATTTAATGAGGTTACTGGTCATTTGTGTGACAAATATTTTGTATTTAACACTTGTAAATTATGAAGTCTACAGATATACACAGCAATATGCTGACAAACACAAGCATATAAAATTTTAGCAAACGTTATCATCATGCATTTACATTTAAATTCAGATCAATGCCCAAGTGAACTTTAGAGAAAATTGAAGAGTTGAAAAAATCTATCAAGTCAGATGTAGCCAGGGCCTGATCATGCTGTTATTGATTTATGTGCATTCAGTACAGATCTAGCAATACACTCTGCCTTATTACTTGGTAAAGAAAATGTAGATAAGACTTAGTGACATGAAAGTGGAATTCTTTATTTACCTTATCTATCTATCTATCTATCTATCTATCTATCTATCTATCTATCTATCTATCTATCTGTGTCCATCTTGACCGTCTGTCTGACTATTATTATTGTAATATCATTAAATTAGAATAACTTAATATACAGCAAGTATTACCAGATGTTGACGTTAACACATTTCCTTATACAGATGCTCCTCTTCTTACGAACTTTCAACTTACGAACTTTTAGACATACGAACGAATTGAGGACTATAAGTCCAAATTGTGCTCACTGGGCTCCCGTTTCCTGTCCGCGACATCAAATTATTTTTCTGTGTGCCAATTCCAGGCAGCATCACTTCTGGCCGCTACTCCCGCCGCGCAGCAGTGTAGCGTGCGTACTCCCAGCATCCTAGTTCTTTGTACTTGCGTATACCCTTAAAATTATGTTGAATAAAGACTTACGAACATTTCAAATTACGAACGGCCATTCGGAACGTATCTCATTCAGAAGTAGAGGAGCGTCTGTAATTACATTGTCAGTGCTTGAAGTGGGCTGGTACTCACCAGTACGAGGTACAGTACTGACACCTCTTTCTTTCTTTCTTCAGAGTACTGGGAATATTTCATATGTACTGATACAGAATAACAAGGAGAGTACTGGCACCTGTTTTGTCCCCACGTCAAGCACTGTACATTGTGATCATTTTATTGTAATTCAACAAAATCAAATTTCATCCATCGTATTAAACATCCTCATTCGAAAAAGTTGGATAAATAGTTCAGGGTGTTCCTTGCCTTGTGCTTTGTGATTTGCTGTCATTCTCTGTTCGATAAGAATTAAAGGACAATGGTTAGCTATCTGGGTGAACAAGGCAAATTCCCTTGTGATGTCACATTTTTAAGACAATTTTAGGTGAAATTTATCCTTGTAATACAACAAATTGCATCAAATATATGCACATTTAAAGAGCAATATAAATTACTTACTGCTTTTGTCAATTTTTTCCTTAGAATGTTATTGAGTAATGCATAGAAGTGATGATAATAAATATTTATAATAAACAGATGGTGCAAATGAATATAAACTCTGCAGTTACTTTCCAAATAAATAAATGTGCAAAATAGTGGTTTACCTAGTACCATGGCAGCAAAACTCTCTCATGCAACAAGTCAAACTGACAACAGGCTATATTGGTGATAATAGGCTTATGCAATGTATTTGATGAGTTTTATATGACTCATGATGAAAAAATGGTCAACAACAGAACATTAATTTGATTGTTAAAAGATTACAGCGATTATCTTTTAAGTATAAATGTTGGCACAGGCCAATTTTAACCAGTGTAGTGCATAATATGATTGCAGTGTATGCTGCAAGAAGTAAGCAAATGATATCCATTACTATTAGGTACTGCCAAGTAGAATGTTGAATCATGGCTACCATATAGAGATTATTAATTGCAAATTTTCTGTCTTCGGTCCAGGCATTTATGCTTCCCAAAGGAATCTTCACTTTTGCAACAATTGAGTTCATCCATTTTGCTGGACGTCCACTTCCACTTTTTACCTTCAGCTTTTACAAGCATTATGACTTTTCCATGGGTCTCCTCATAAGATGCCCAAAATAAGCTTCACTTTGGTCATTTGTGCTTCAAGTGAAAGTTTAATTAGATGAATAATCTACTTGTTCATTTTCCTTGTGGTCCATGGCATTCTGAAAATTCACAATACATCAATGCTTTTCCTGTCCTGCTTCTTCATTGTCAGTTTCATCAAGAGTCACAGAAAATTACAATTCATTATTCTTTTCACTCTGTTCTTTAACTTTCCTTGCAAGTGTTGCCAGATTTTCTCAGCTGTCTGCTATAAGTGTGATGTCGTCAGTATATCAGAGATGGTTGTTTCACCAATTTGGTATCCACAATTGAATTCTTTCAAAAGTCATCTATAACATCTATGCCTTCACCATCATCCTTTGTTTTCCTCACATTTCAAGCCATCTTGTCATTTGGTTTTTTAAGCATCTTCAGATTTGCCACTATACATATGCAGTCATCACCACTCTGAATCCTCCTTATATATCAGATCTATATCTCAGCTACATTGAATGATCTTTATCATAATATTACTGGAATTTGGCACAAGGATAATTTTAAGGTCGCTTGCAAAACCTGCCAGATCTTCTTTATTTGAAATTGGTATGCAAACGGATCTCTTCCAATCTCCAAGCCATCACGTTGTTTTCAAAATATACTGGCATAATTTTGCCAACGTTTCAACAACTCTTTTTCAGTTGCTTATAATACAGTAACCCCTTCAAATTCACACATTTGACATTCACAATTTTGGTTATTCCCGAGTTGACCATGAACAGTAAATAGTTTGGGAGCTTGCCAAAAGATTGCAAAAACTCACAGATGATGCCTAAGCTGAAAACAATACTCAAAATGATTGGGATCACATAAAATCATATAAAACATAAAAATTACTAATATTAATATTAAAAGTCTTGGCTTGTGTAGACCACGCATCTTTGTCTTAGCAGCCAGCCTTACTCTTGTGTTAGCTGTCTTTGCGACCATGTAAACTTGTTTCTCGTGTTAACTTTTAAAAATTTCAATGCCATTAATTTTGCATTTTTAATAATGAGCGCTCTCATTGTGTATAGCAGTAACTTTGTACATACAGGGCCATAATTTAGATGCTTTGTATATTATATAAAAGATCTTGATAGAAAACGACAAAGTAATCTGACATGCAAAGTGTACAGTACAGTACTGTTTGTTTAGAAATTGGTAGGAAATAGACTTATTATGTTATCGTTCAGGCTACCCAACTGTTATGGGTTATGGTCAGAAGTGCCCAAGTATTATTTGCAAATTTTCACAATTGAGGGTATCTAACACCTCTCACCCTCGCATATGTGAAGGGGGTACTGTATTTCTATTGAGATGCCTTCTAACCTCGTGACTTGCCAGTTTGGCAGTGATCTCAGGGCTAATTTGACCTACAGTTCCATTCTTCCATGTGTCTGAGCTTATTAAATATATCTTACTTATTGATATCTTTACTATAGAGGTGTTCAATGTGTTTTTTCCATCTGTGTTTGATCTTCTTACGTCAGTTATTTTTCCTGTGATGTCCTACAATTAAGGGTGGAGGATCTTTTAAATTCTACAAAATTTTGGAAAAAAGACTCTCATTCTTCCATATTTATTTCATTCTTCACTGACAAGTTATAATACT